ATGTTACCCAACATGATGATCAGCATTGAGCCCTAATTTTTCCTGATTTTATTGCCATTTTACATTTGGAAATGCACCCTGGACCCTGAAAGGTCAGCTGCCACTAAAAATGAAATATTCATTGAAAGCGCCAGGTACACATATGAAAAGTGCAATGAAATCTCCTAGGAATAAGAATGAAATATCCATTGAAAGCACCAGGCATCCAAATGAGAAGCACAATGAGATATCCTGGGTTTAGCAATGAAATATCCAATGAAAGCACCAGGTATATCTATGAAAAGTGCAATGAAATATCCTAGGAACAAGAATGAAATATCCATTGAAAGCACCAGGCATCCAAATGAGAAGCACAATGAGATATCCTGGGTTTAGCAATGAAATATCCAATGAAAGCACCAGGTATATCTATGAAAAGTGCAATGAAATATCCTAGGAACAAGAATGAAATATCCATTGAAAGCACCAGGCATTCAGATGAAAATCACAATGAAATATCCTGGGGCTAACAATGAAATATCCAATGAAAGCGCCAGATATATATATGAAAACTCCAATGAAATGTCCTGGAGCTAAGAATGAAATATATATTGAAAGCGCCAGGCTTTCATATGAAAAGCAAAATGAGATATCCAGAGATAATGAATGAAATATTGCAGGAAATCGCAATACAATATTAATGAGATCACTTAGGCCATTTAATGAAAAAACCAAATGAAATACACAGGGAACTTAATGAATGAAAATACTAGACAACATAATGAGTTGTCTCATTGAACCTCTAGGCATTATACACATCGCCTTCCAGGCATGTGTCTGGTTTTTATCATAAGAGTGTATACCACTAGTGCTTGGGCAATATCATTGGCAATTTCATTAGCTACTTGGGCGACATCATTGCGATTTTCATTAGCTACTTGGGCAATATCATTGCGATTTTCATTAGCTCCTTTGGCAATATCATTGTGATTTTCATTAGCTACTTGGGCAATATCATTGGCAATTTCATTAGCTACTTGGGCGACATCATTGCGATTTTCATTAGCTACTTGGGCAATATCATTGCGATTTTCATTGGCTCCTTTGGCAATATCATGGGAAATTTCATTGGCTACTTGGGCAACATCATTGCGATTTTCATTAGCTACTTGGGCAATATTATTGGCAATTTTTAGTAATCAGGAGAGTGGTCACATGACCAAACTCCAAAAGGGGTCAAAAAACCAAAGTTGTAGCCCTGCACTGTAGCTTCCCAAATCTGTTTGAATTATGTTCTGAAGTGCTCCTGTTGTGGAGATATGAGGTAAATGAATGTCAAAAGTGTCGCGTTTTTTTTTTGATTTTTGTGTTTTTCTCCATGAAAACAAAACCAAATAACATAATTTCAGTATATTCA